TAAAACGAAAATAAAGTGAAATCAGGAGAATTAGTGTAAAAATATAATAGTGTGTGTACATATATATATTGAAATATATACGATATATATTATACAATTCAATATAATATATATGATATACATATATATTTATATATATATTCCTTCCAAGTAGTCGTGACAACTATCATAACAAAATTATTCGACAGCTTCGGCAAGCGACATGGATCCGGCCCAATCGGTTCACACGAGAAAAAAAAGACTGTTTCCCCGGCGGAAATGCGTTTCCGGTCGTCAGATAGCTGCACAGCTTTTCTCTCGAATTCTCATTCTTTTATATATAGAGATACATATATTTATAATCTATAACATGTTATTCCCTATATACACATTTATATTGCAGCAAAACAGTGTTAACGTGGACATCGTAAACGACGTTACGACGGTACAACGTGGTGTGTGAATCGTGTTACGGGTGCGCCAATCCGAAAGCAGATTAATCCGTTCAGCAACGAGCAACCCCCGTCAAATGTTCTAGCTCGGTGAGGCAGGCGATTGCATATTACGACGCGCAAAAACGGTCTGAGGATGAATCAACGATCTGGGAGGATAATTCAACGAACATGTCCCGCGAAAAGGAGAAATTTCCCTATATAAAAATCATCAACGATAAGGTATCAAAAAATGATCTCGAAAGTTTCGTTACACGCTAAAAGATCGCCGGGAATGGTTAGGTATTTACGCTTCTTTCCCGATTTCGTCGTTTGCCCAGGGGTTCTCCGCTTTCCGTTCGTCTCTTTCGGATTGGCTGGGTTGTTTGTTTGTTGCTTATCAGTTCGCGCGATTCGCCGTCGACGTACGATTTCTTCATTAATAATTAACTCTTAAGTAGCCACGTCGACGACGGGTCGCGTGTCATGGTTTTCCGTCGTGGTTGAATTTTCTTACATATGTAATCATCGGTCTCGTTCGTCGGCCATCTTGTCGGCGTTCCAAGATGTCTGCGCGCAAGAGGATCTCACACACACAATATGCTTCGCGCGACAAACGTTCTCCTCGCATTACGCA